TAGGGGTTCATTATATTAATCTCTCTACTTCTATATGTTTGAAAGTTTTCATTAAGGAGTCTTAAGATCCCATTTTTTTAAAGTGGGAGGAATGATATGTTTCTGAGAGATTACTCTGGCTTTTTGATTCTGGGAAAATGGTGGCAGCAGTAGCATAGTTTTTAATTTGCCCTGAATCCTCCTATCTAATAAAGAGGGGATATGTTAATTGACCCTCACACCATCGCAAAGATGGCGGCGCCTGCACCTCAATTAGCCAATAAGGAGGGAATATGCTAACTGACTGCCCCGCCCTCAAAGATGGCGGCACCCAGTCCCCTCAGCCCCACCAGGGTGGCAGGCACACTGCAAGGCCAGGCCTGCCTCCAGAGTTCCCCAACCCCCTCAGCCCTCCAGGCCCCCAGGGCTGCCCGAGGCTTGGCAGTGGCAGCACCAGAGGTGTGATGGGGGCGTCGCCTTCCCCTGATCGCCGGGTCACCTTCTGCCCCTGAGGGCTCCTGGACTGTGAGGGGGGTAGGCCGGGCTGAGGGATCCCCCCCTCCAGTGCATGAATTTTCATGCACCGGGCCTCTAGTTTCTCCATAAAAATAAACACAGCAACAAGGATAGTAAAATGAATTCCTCTGACAATTAAGACAAACCTACGGTTGTCACACTTTGATTCTGAAAGTACCAATAAGTAGAGATAGGCCACTTATTCAGACCCATGTGGTATCCACATTTGTGTGGGAGGAAGTAGAACCAACACAGGTGACTCTGATGGCTCTGGAAAGTTTGATAGGCCAATCTGTGTTAGCAGCCACACTGGGAGTAGATTCCCAGTCAGGGAGTGCCTGGTTTCCCCTCCCCGCAAGATGCTATGGAAGTATAGACCCAATGGATTCTCAAAACTAAGAAACTGAACACTTTTCTAGGAGACAGTTCTGAGGAAAGAGGAGATTAAGATAAAAGGTAGGATGGGAGGAACAGGGAAGGCAGATCTTAGAAAGTACAAGATCTTTTTAAAAACCACAAAGATCACTGAAGAGAGAGCCTGTGGGCCCTGAGCTAGAATATCTATCTGATCCACCCCTTCCTTCCTAAAACTATAAGGGAAACACTGTTCACTTAAAAATGAGCCGACAGCCCTAACAAGTTTGGCTCAGTGGATAGAGCATCGGACTGTGGACTGAAAGGTCCCACGTTCGATTCCAGTCAAGGGCATGTACCTTGGTTGCGGGCACATCCCCAGTAGGAGGTGTGCAGGAGGCAGCTGATCGATGTTTCTCTCTCATCGATGTTTCTTACTCTCTATCCCTCTCCCTTCCTCTCTGTAAAAATTCAATAAAATATATTTTTTTAAAAATGAGCAGACAAGGGACAGTTGAGTTCCATACAGCAGTATCATATTAATGAGAAGGGACAAAACAATATCCCTACAGAAAAGCTAGAAAAATGCCCATAACAGATGAACACTAATCCAACAAGCTAAAAAAAATTAAGAAAATGGTAGAAGCTCCCAGCCAGTGTGGTTCAATGGTTGAGCATTGACCCATGAAGCAGGAGGTCACGGTTTGATTCCTGGTCACAGTACATGCCCAGGTTGTGGGCTCAATCCCCAGTAGGGGACATGCAGGAGGTAGCCAATTAATGATTCTCTCCCATCACTGATGTTTCTTTCCCTCTCCTTTCCTCTATGAAATCAATAAAAACATATTTTAAAAAATAAAAAAATCTGAACTGGTAAGCCTTATATTAAAGATGAGTTTTCTTTAAAAAAAGATGGTAGAAGCTATGGAAGAACAACATAAATGAGAATGAGAAATCAAAAAACAAGGCAACTGGAAAAAAAAAAAGATTAAAAAAGAGGTGAAAGAAATCAGAAAAGAAAGAAAAAATATTTTCAGAAATGAAGATGAAATGAGGAACATAAGAATAAATGTATTTAATGCCTTAAAAGAAACAGAATAAAGAAGAGTTTTTAAAAATCTCAAAAGAAATAATCAAATAGAAATAGGTTCCTTGTATTAATGCTATAATTTTTCTGTAAGTCAAAATTATATTTAGTATTTTGAAATTATATTTAATAAATTTTCATTTATTTTTTAATAAAAAGATTTAAAATTTTTTGAGAGGTGAAAGAAACATGATAAGCAAAGAAGATCAAACATACTCATAATAAGCTGAGTCCTTGAAGAAGGAAACCAAAACAATGTTAACAGAAGAAATACAATAAATGATTAGACTTTGAAATAAAAGGTTAAAATAAAATCTGTTGGGAATCTAAGCAAAAAGATCAAGTCACTTATAAGGGAAACACAATTAGATTGTCTTTATACCAGAAGATGATGAAATGACAAATTCAAATTACTTTAGGAAAGAAAATAGGACCCAAAGGTTTTTATATATAGACAAAAAAGGCTTTCAAATATAAAAGCTGCAGACAAACTTATGAACATTAACTTACGGAACAATATTTCCATAAATCCTTTCTGAAGAATATAGCAGAGAATGAGTGTCAGGCAAACAATAACTAGAGAAATATAGAAAGAACTCAGAGTGAGCATTAATATTTATCAGTAGAGCTAAGACAAAAGGATGGTTGTAAGGAAGATGATGGATTATATAATGTAGAGTACAACTATCAAAAAGGGAGTATGAGAGGCAGAACACGAAAAATTTTTGAAAAGTAGAATAATCTTGCTGATTAGTTTAACAGATATAAACAGAATCCTCAGATATCAACTGTGAATACTTCAAATCAGATGCTGGAGGAAAGGGAAGGAAAAAAGAATAGATGATTACAGTCATGCACCACTTAACAGCAGGGATACATTCTGAGAAATGCATTGCTGTGTGAACATCAAGTGTACTTACACAAACCTAGGTGGCATACCCTATTAAACACTGAGGCTAGGTGGCATATACCATTGTATATGCAGTCCGTCGTTGATCAAAATGCTGTTATGTGGTACATGATTGTAGTAGCTAACTTCAATACTGCTCACAGAAGGAAATCACGAGATACCCCTAAACTGAGAGAACTAAAGGTATATAATAAACACTATGTTAGTAAAGAGGTAACTATTATATCCATTTGTACGTCATAAGTGTCTATAGATGCAAATGGTGGACCTTTTTAAATTAAATTCAAAATATCGTGGCAGTTAACTGGCTAAAATGCAAACATTCCTAAATACCAAAAGACTTAGTGATAAAATTAACAATTCTAGTATCTATATATATAAAAGGCTAATATGCAAAGTGCCCCCTCAGGAGTTCAACCAGGAGACAGGGAGTTCGATTGCTCGCTATGATGTGTGCTGACCACCAGGGAATAGCGCGGGACAAAGGAAGGCCCCGGCCAGCAACCAAAAAGCCCCAATCGGCCCTGATCACTGGCCAGGCCTAGGGACCCTACCCACGCACAAATTTCATGCACTGGGCCTCTAGTGTATAATACAAAGATATAATGGAAAATAAAGGTAACCAATCTTAACAATATAGTAGCTTCTACTCTTCCAAACTTTTCTCCAAACAATTGCAAACATAAATATTCTTACTGCTTGTTTTTATATAGTATACATATTATTCTATATCATCATCTTATAATCAGCCATCTAACCTACCTTCATTTACTCATATAAATGAGTTTAACTGGGTTTTTTATGTGTATCAGTCACAGCGGCAAATAGAATAAATCTGTCACTCCCAGTATTTTAGCAATAATTTAATTTTCTTAACTTGTTACTTTATCTAGAGCCTCCAAAAAAATAAAAGCTGGAATAAGTTAAAAATAAACTCAACTAACCCTGGCTAGTTGGTTGGACATTGTCCTGTGCACTGAAGCGTTGCTAATTCAATTCCTGATCAGGGCACATGCCTGAGTTGCAAGCTTGATCCTTGGTCTCCCTGGTCAGGGGCTTGCAGGAGGCAGCTGATTTCATGTTTTGCTCTCAAATCAATGTTTCTCTCTCTCCCTCTCTCTCAAAATCAATATAAATATTTAAATAAACAAAAATCTACTAAAAAATAACTTCAGCATTTTAACAGTTAGGTTTGTTAAACAGGTTATCCTATTTAAGTAGCTTCCTTCTACTCTTATGTTACTAAGTTTTAGTTACTAAGAGCCGCTGTATAATCCAGCCAGAACTCAACAGTTACTGTTCATTAGGGTAAGACCAACCTCCACTGAGAGAAACAATTTTGGACAGAAAGAACTCCCTTTTCTCAATACTCAAAATCTAGCCTGACAATCACATGTAACTAGTCTTTCTTCTCAGGTCCTTTCAATTTTCTTGGATAGAGTCCCTTGGTAGTTATATCCTGCTTTTAATTTTTTTCCAGCTGACTATCTGGTCGATGTGCATTTAACTACCCCATGCAACTTGACCAGCATCAATCATCTTGGCTTCTCTCCTGCTCTCTTCATGCTGTCTGAACTCAGTTACTGTGAAACAACTTACTTTTTACTTTTCATTTACCAAGTGTTTCTTTCCTTTTTTATACCCCAAAATTGATGATTGGGAGTATTTTCAGATTATAAATACTATAAATATTCTTATTTAGAAAATCCATGCAGTACTGAGAATCTGACCACATATGAAAATCATATGACCACTGAAAATCAACTGACCACGTGTTTCAACCAAGGTGTTGAATATCTTTTTGGTTATTTGTCACACAGAGGGGGAGGGAGTCAGTGGAAAATCAGATAATTACCATCTGAGAATATTCACTCAAGATTAAAAGCAAAGACCTCAAAGCCTCCTTTGCTACTGGTACTTTCCCTGTATGTTTATTCTTCTATTCTGGTCTGCTTGAATTACAGGCAACTTGACAAATATCACTATCAGGCATTTTTCAGACACAGTTGACACTTCAGTCCATTTTGAATGGGACTAAATGGTTCTCTCTCGATTAGAAAACATCCAGTGTAACTTTCATCAGCAACTCAGAAACTATAAACTGGCTAAACTGTGTATAACAACAGCAGGCTAGTAAAATACATTCAGACTCACATTTCTGTTTTCCATCTATTTATTTCTTTTACAAGTAGCTGCTTTCTTAAACAGACTTAGAGAAAACACAAAAGAGCAGGAGAGGGATATATGATTAGGGGAGGCATGCTTTTTGAGGGTAAAAATCAAAACTAAATCACATAAAAAATAACATTACCAATACTACAGTCTATGGAAAACAAATATGCACACATAAATGAGTAACAATAAAATGGGAAATCTGCATAACATGGGCAAATTGTATCAATGTCAATATCCTGGTTGTGATATTGTATTACATACAGTTTTGCATGGGGGAGGGGCAAACTGTACAAGGGATCTCTCTGTATTATTTCTCACAACTGCACATGAATCTACAATTACCTCAGTGAAAATTTCGGTTAAAAATATGACTGGCAGAACATAGACAAAATGTTTATAGTACTTACATTGTGTAGTGATAAGATAAACAAAAATTTTATTTTCCACAGTAAACATATCACTTCATAATAAAATACAGTATATGATTAAAAAATAAGAATTCTTAACAAGGGGAAAAGATATAATCAAGACTTGGAACATTTAAAACATATTTTATAAAATCTTAAAGAATATGAATAAAGTGACTATAGGGCCGTTTAACAAATCATGGGATTCTAATGTAAGATAAATTCTTAATTTTTAAATACTGAATAAACCAAGATGAAATACTATTTTCTACCAATCAATAACTAACTTCTGACAATCGTAACGTGAAAAGGTGATGTACTCTGGAGACCAATGCCCCAGCCATATGTGCCTCCTCAGTGTTCTTGAAAATTGCTAAGCCACTTTTAACCACAAGTCTCACCCACCCCAAGCTCTAGGCCTTGCTTAAGATCTAGGGACCACTTCAAACCAGCTCAAAGGTCCTTCTTCAACACTTTCATTGCACCTTTTATTCTTCTTTTATAGCACTTCCTCCCAATGAAAATGAATCATTTGTGTGACTGTTTCATGTTGTCTTCCTCCTGTCTATAAAAGGGACCACTGGTATGTGCTCTTGATCATCCCTGAATTTGTCAGTGCCTAGCACACTGCTAAGGCAAGTGCAGTCACCTAATCAAGTTTTAATGAATTAAGTGCCAACATAATTTATAGTTGACCATCATAATGGATTACAGAGAAAATTAGGACTCTACTGGTCAAGAATAATTGTTAGGCAGACTATTCTCATGTGCTGAGTCCTTCTGTGGTTTAATTCCACAAACATTTCTGAAGGGTTTACAGAGGTACCCCATCTTACACAGTAATTCTGTAGTTAATGAGGCAAAATTGCATATAATTAAAATTAACCTTGGAAAGAATACCTTAAATGCCAGAACGAAAGCCTTAGTTATTTTAAAGCCCAGACCTTAATCTCTTGTTTCTCTTCTAAATTTAGCCTCCCTTTCTCTATAGAGGATATCAAGGTGTGGCTTGAGAGGACAATGTAGTATTTCAAGGGATTTCTCTCTTTTTTTCTCTTTGGGGAGAAGAGCAGTACATATAGTTTAGCTAAGGAAGATTGAATCTGTGCATGATCTTATTCCACAAGGAGATGCAAAGCACGATGGTACCTTAGGTGCTGAGAATACAAAGATGTAAAAGACAAGATTGCAAATTCCTAGAGGGTTCACATTCTAGCTGAGAAGAAAGTAGTAAATAACCATTAGAATAAAAATGTTAATTTATATAAACTGCTATTAAGTGTTTTAAAAAGACTAGCATGTCAGCAGATGAATATGTTCTTTCTAGTGGCTTTCTGTAACCAAATCCTAATTTTCTAGGCCTAGGGCAGATGGATTCTTCAGGTGAGTTAGGGAAAAGTTAATGTGTTCACAGAATTAATAAAAAAAGCACATTAATATTTCCATAGTTCAAAAACAAAGAAATTTAATAGAAATATTGGCTCAGTGTGAAGAGGCATGTACTTCACTGAGGCAGGGAACTGTGAGCTGAAAGGATGGTGAATGGTGGTAGCTCAGCGTGATACAACATCAATATGGACCTAGACTGGAGTACGTGATGAAAGTGTGGGAGTTTAGAGCAGGCTGGCTGGGGCAGCTGGGCCTGGAGAGTCGAGGGAACAACTTTATCCAGACCTGCTTTTAAGCACTTGTGTTAGGTGAGGCCAAGGCATCTGGAGACTACTAGTATACTCTTAGCAATGCAGAGCCATTGAAATTCTCAAGTAGGACAGTGACTTCACTTCTTCACCAGCTAGAGACAGGATGGAAATGAAGACGCTGAAGGTGACTATAAAAGGCCAGAGATGAGAGGGGCCTGAAGGACACAAGGGCCCTGGTCGGTTTGGTTCAGTGGATAGAATGTCAGCCTGCGGACTGAATGGTCCCAGGTTCAATTCCGGTCAGGGGCACATGCCCAGGTTGCGTGCTCGATCCCCAATAGGGGGTGTGAAGGAGGCAGCCAAGCAATGATTCTCTCTGATCATTGATGTTTCTATCTCTCTCTCCCCCTCTCCCTTCCTCTCTGAAATCAATAAAAATATATTCTTTTAAAAAGGAACAAAGGGAAGAGGGTAAGAAAAGAAGGAGGTTCAGACTTGTGTTTTAAGTATAAAGTTGCAGACCTCGGCAATCAATCATATATATGTAAGAGTAAAGAGTTGAAGGTTACTTTAGGTTATGAGTTAGTGCAACTAATAACAGACATATGTAGCTTTGTAAACATAAGTGTCCACTGATTTTGTAATTATTCAATCTATTTCTAAATACAAAAATAAATGCTTAGTGTTTTAAAAAATCAAGCTCACAGGACAAAATGAAGCAGTGCTCTACATAACAAAATGCATCCTCTAAATAAAAGCATGAGAAAGTCTGTAAAAACTTTTTATTTAAAAAGAATGCATTAGGAAATATATAAAATGTTATGAGTAACCCATTTCTGACATATCTTTTTTAAATGTAGCGTATTTGCAGAGGTTAAAAATGACTTAAGTGTTTTCCTGGCAAAAATATTTTTCACAAGAGCTGCCAGTAAATTAGAGAGACAATCTAAAGTGTCATTTGAGTAAAATTTGCTAAAAGCAGAAAGTACAACAATAAAAATAAAGTAAAAAAGGAAATGTTAAGAGTATGAAAACTGTTCAGAATTGCCATTTACAAAATCTCTTTTGAAACCTTGTTTAAATCATACAAATAAAAATTCTAACAAAAAGTAATTAAAAAAATAAAATAAAAACAGAAAGTGTTGTTTCATATGACAGCTTCTATGGCAAGGCAACACCCTGACCTTCTGTGTCCATAACTATTACGGGAATATATGCCAGAAGCTTCCATCATACTATGCCAGAATGCACTTGTGGAACAATCTATAGTTCTGGGACACAGCCAAGTTTTACCTCCAGCCCCACCTGACCCATCTTCTTGGTTACAATGACGCCAGAGTGAACCTTTCAGAAGTGGTGCATCAAACCTTCCTTTCTGGGTGGGCGTGGGTGGGTGTGCATGGGTGTACATGGGTGCTCCTTTCTGCTGAGAAGTGGAAGAGCAGCTGTCAAATCAGGGACAAAAACTCTATAGGAACAAGCACAGAGCCTCCAGCTCTGCAGCTCTCCACAAGCTGGTTTAAAAGCACAAGCTACTAAAGGGAATACTCCAAACCTACTACATTCATCAGCTAAAAGCCCAATGCCCCAGCATCTCAGCAGTGTTTGGTTGAGGGCCTGGGGGTTCAAGGAGAGGGATGGGATATTTATAGGAGAGAAGAGTCCCAGAGACAAATGATTTTTTTCACAGAGCTGCCACAGCCAAGCCCTGCGGGGCTGTTCAGAGCCCTCCTAAGTCCCGTGTGTTATGACTACCTTACGTTGCCAAGCTTTTTTACCATGTGAAGCATGAATTGAGCCATAAGAAACCACAGAAATGACCAACCCACAGGTTTATCCAGTCTCCTGGCAGAGGAAATACTGCAGTGGACAGTTTTAGAGGGTTTAAATAGGAAGGAAGCACACCGTATGGTTTCATGTACTGTCATGAAAAGGTCTCATCTGAAAACTAACCTTAAATAAGAAATATCACCAAGGAAGGCAATGTTAATCATAAAAAGCTGTTATTTTCTGTAATGTGATACACAATAAAGGAGAATACGACTGAAATATATGCAGTTTATAAAGATTAGTCACCTGGAATTCTGTATTTCCTCACTGCAAAATTAACGTGTGGTAACTAACTCTGCCACAACACTTAATTTAGAAAACCTCTAAAAGATTACATATTTAATTCAAAAACAGGAGACTGATAGTATCTTCAGTTGTAGACAAGAGGCAAAAACCCTGGCAAAAAGAAGAAAGAAAAAAAAAGGTAACCAAGGAAAAAAACAAAAGACAGTAATGAAGAGAGAGCCAGGCCCAAGAAGTGTCCCTGGGAGCGGTCAATGCTCTCCAGCCCCAGAAACTCAGCCTAATCGTATTCCTCACGGCTCTGATCTACCCCCAGCGTCCTGGAATCTATCCTCCCTCCACAATCCATGGGAGTCAATAACCCCCTCCCCCCATGGAACCCAAAATTCATAAAATCACCACTATATCTAATGTTAATATTATATGTAGTAATCATTATCATATATAGTAATTCTATGGGGAAATTTCCTATTATCTTAATAGGAATACTTCAGGTATACTGCATATTAAGTATGTCTATAGGCGAGCTTGGAACTTAACTACAATTCATAACACTGATTCTATAGAAAAATATGTTCAGCATCTCAGATAAACCAACTTTTAAACTTCTGAAGGAGACACATTTGTGTACTAGGGACTGTCTGAACTCTCATGCTTGGTCATTTTGACTCCATGCCAGTCAGAAAAGTCCATCTCAACATCGTTCCTGTGAACTGACCCAAATAAGATTTAAGGAGACACTCTTAAATAATAATTTTAGAGCATCACAAGCCAGGCACTCTATGACACATAAGACTAACCATGGCTTTTACCCAAAACCTATGGATTTAAAAGAACTATCTGGGGATATTAAAAAAACAACTCACAAACACAAAAATTTTGCCACAAACTGACCATGTTAATTTTACAGGATACTGTAGTTACTTTTTCAGCTGTTATTAACATCCCTCCCAACTTGCTTAAGCATATGATTCTATCATCCATCCTCTTCACTGGCATTGGAAGAGGACAGATGTACCATTAAATACAGAGAGAGGAATGAACTACAGATAGATTTGACAGCAGAAGCAGTTTACTGCTTGCTTGCAGTCTGTCAAATGTCATGAGGCACATAGGGAGGGAAGCCACAGAGTTTGTTTGCCATGTCTACAGCCAACACCACATACCCCGTGTCCTTATTGGGAAGTAGCCCCAAGATCCAGCATGTGGGTAATTGCTAGTGGTGGTTGTGGTAACCATGGGGGGAGGGTAGTAAGGAGAGAAAGTAAGAAAGGGGGAAAACAAGACTAGAGTATGATTGTGGATGGGAGCTCAGTAACAGACTGCAACACATTTGTCTGAACCCAACACACTGGAATACAAATGCTTACGGCTTCCCACACTTTCTTCAACATCTTTTCTAAGACTCTGGCCGACAACCCTATCTTTCAAGCTTTATTTCTACTTCGTTCTCAACTGCTCCTACCTCTGGCCTTCAATCTTGTTAAAAGGCATTTTTATGTTTACATGATCTCAGTAAGTAACACTGAGGATTCAGAACCATTGCTCTGACATAAAATGTCTATTCCGCTTAAACTCAGTTACCCTGATGAAAGGCGATCCCAGGACGTCAGGAAAGCAGCACATCTGGAGGAAAGCACACTGGACCAGGAAGAAAAGGATTCCCTTCCAGTAGCAGGTCTGCCCTGGGACCACTTCATCATGCTGGGTCTCAGTTCTTTTGAAAAACAATCTTTGTCCCAAGTCATTTACCACAATGATTTGTCTTTAAAATAAGTAACAGAAAAGTGCTCTGCAAATTGTGACGCTAAGTACTTTTATTCTAAATTCAGATACATTCACATAAAAATTCCAGTTTAAAAGACAAACCTAAAAAGAAAAATCAAATAGAATAAGAAGCCAAACCAACCCTAAATATCCCTTCTTCACCAGACTAGACATGTCATTCCACTCCAACATGTAAGGCCAAGCTTGCCAAGGCAAGAACAAGGTTTTTACATTTATTTTTTTCTTCTCCTCCTCTTCTCCATTCAAAAAGCACTTATTTCATAAGATCCAGACGATGAGGGAAAAGTTGAAATCCACAAATAATTGAATAATCTTCAATTATTATCCTGTATCAAGGATAACATGTAAGGGAAAAAGGTAAAAACAAATGTTTCGTTTCACATGCAAATGATTCACCTGGCCAGATTTTCTTTTTCTTGTGAGCTTTTTGGCAACTTTTTTCAAAATCTCAGGAAATTACAAACAAATGAAACTCTAAAGGCAAATTAGGAAAAAAGACTACCTTTAGAGCCCAAACATGCTCCTCCCATTCTTGTCTGGTTCTTCACTTTTAGAGGGGACCACCAAACCAACCACAAAATCATATGCTAACAAGAGCTTTTGCTTCCTGAAGTTGACAACTCTCTGGCTTTAAATAAATGCCTCTATTTCCTGTTAGCATTGGTCAGTCCTAACTACCAAACCTATGAAGTTTGAACAAAAAAGACTCTCATACCACTGACTCTCATACTTGGCCAGTATACTGGAACACAAGAGCTAGGAAACCACAGGGAAATTGCCCCTCCAGAGTGGCATGGTTTGTGCATGGCACAGAGACAGGACCAGCTGGGGAAGACAAGGATGGATTATAAATGAGACTTAGTTCCATCACATATATCTGGGATTAGGCTCCTGAAATAAAGTCCGACTACATACAAGGCACCCTGAGGGATACACAAAGAATCACACACAGTTCTTGCTCAGAAGGGGCTTCTAATCTCACTGGGAAGGTATACCACATAGAAAAAAATAATACAAAGGACAAATGAGAAAACTAAGTGTGTGCTAAATTGATGGTGTATCACATGGTTCACACAATATATAAACCCGATCATCAGTTTCCAATTCATGAACCTTCTAAATAGTATAGCTCCTCTCTTCATATAAGAAATATTAGGTCCTTTCTATATGCTAGGCACTTACTAGTATACTGCGTACTAAGAGATAGAAATGACTGAAATGAAAGCAGTCTTGCCCCTTCTAAAACTTGATGGTTACTTGGCAACAGATAAGTAAACAGGTTATTAGAGAACAATGGATTTAATTACAGTATAATCACACAAAGTGCTATGAAAGGGGGAAGTACGGGAGCCACTGGAGGACCAAGAAGATTCTAGGCAGCTACCCTGAACCTGGGAAAAGGGGAAATCAGAGAAATTATTCTCAAAAAGGTTGCCTAAGATGTGACTAGGAGAAGAACGAGAATTAGCAAGGTAAACTGTTCCAGGCAGAGGAAAGGCATATGCAAAGGCTCTGCAAGAGATGGAGAGCACTGCCATTTCAGGAACTAAAAGGGCCTCTTTTTAAAAAAAATGTTTTTATTGATTTTAGAGAGAGGAAGGGAATAAGAGATAGAAACACCGATGAGAAAGAAACACCTATAGGCTGCCTCCTGCACGCCCCCTGCTGGAGATCGAGCCCACAACCCAGGCATGTGCCCTGGGTGGTAATGGAACGGTGACCTCCTGGTTCATGGATCAATGCTCAATCACTGAGCCACACCAGCCAGGCTAAATGTGCTTTTGAAAGCTGTACCAGAGTGCAGGAATGTGTATGTACACGCTCTGAATTCAAGGGCCACTACTACTTTGTGGGTGAATAAATAAGACAGCTGAGGAAGAACAGTCAGAGGAAAAGAGCAGCGTGGGGAGACCCTTGAGGAGCTCCCCCAGTAAAGTGAGATTCAGGACTAGCTAGCAAAAGAGAATATATAAAAGGAAGAAAAGGGAAAAAAAGAGAGTTATGGAAACTGGGATTAAATAACATTTAAGAAGCAGGGGTTAACCATATTATATAGTGCTATGATAAGGATGCAAAATATCCAGTGGATAAGCAACAAGGAAGCTAATAGTGATCAGTCAAGAGATTATTTTAGCGACTTGATTGGGTGGAGCCTAACTAACTTCCTTAGGTGAGGAATGACAGGAAGGTGACCAATGAACACAGTGACCTACTTACTTCAAACATTTCAACTAGAGAAGGAAAGGATACAGCAGTGGCTTCAGGGAGAGGTGCAGGTGGAGGAAGCCTGAGAATACTTAAATGGTCCAAGTAAATTGGCAACAGACAGGGAGGGCTAAGGATACATACCTGAAAGAGTCTCTAAACTGTGACTTGATGCCTTGAGCAGGTAAGCTGGGAAGGTGTTAAGAGCACAGATATAAGGTTTGCCTTAGACAGGAACAATGGCTCCTTTTTCTTTGTGAGAGAAATGAGGCAGAAAGGATGGAAGGTAAGCTTCTGATATGATGGCCAGAACTGAGGGAGAAAGATCTGAGGTTAGAGACTGGATTTCTAGTGGCTCAATCTACAAAGTAATAGATTTTCTCCAGCAGCACTTAGAGGCCTGGCCCCAGGGAGAGAAAGGCAGGTGGCTGGCCTAGTGCAGAGCTAGAGTGGGTCAAGTATGCTGACGGCTAGAAGATGTGCAAAAGGACTAGGAGTGTTGGAGAAGCAGATTTCAAGTGACTGACTGGTCTTAGCTGCATAAGGTGAGAGGAGCAGCTGGAAATCTGGATGCAGAAGAAAAACTCAGAGTAGAAGTAACTGAGTGAGGGCATGTGGAAGCACAGCAGGCTGTGACTGAAGAGCGGAAGGGCTGAGCCCAAAGATCTGTCAAAGGTAGAAGAGATCCCAAGCTGGGTCATGCCTATGGGAAGGAGATGGCAGAAGAAAAGGAATTTGAAGTTCCCAGGGGGTAAGGTGAGGATATAGCGTCGGCTGCCCTAATGAACATGACATGGCCCAGGGGTGACAGCAGCCTGGAAACAGGGGCCCACTTAATATAGGCAAGTTATTAAAAATTCCTCAATATGGCAATTTACTGACTAGAAAATCTTGATGAATCCTCTCTATGATGTATACACACACTCACATCCTTTCTCCTCTCCAACACCAAGTGTTTTACTTTCTTCAACAAATTTGAAGACAAAAGTGTAATCGATGAACTAGGTCCTCTCCAGAGTATGGACTTCTATAAAGGATGTCTTTTTATAATTCTTTCTTACTTATCGTGTCTTAAAAACAATTGCTTTCCCCTGCAATATTTTGGCCATTTAATGACTATGTTTTAGTGAATCTGTCTACTTCTGCTATGTGTGTTCTATTGTATCTACTTAGTGACATGTAAATGACTCCAAAATAAAACTAACAAGAAAAAACCCACACTTAATCATCACCCCACCATTAAAAGAAAAATAGTCAAAGCTTCTTTTATTCTATTTTGCCATCCATTGTAAGGAAAACCCTCCCCTTTTCAAGTCTTTAATGACTAGAAATAATTGACAATTATTTTTTTAATTGTCAAGCTCATGATCAATTCCACACATAACCTTTATAGCCAGAATTAGTAGAAGGAAAAAAGAGATGTTTCACAACTTTAATTATTTGCAGATAACTAATCCTGACTGCTTCTACATGACAAGCGAAGAGTTTAGTAAATATATGAATGGAAAACAAGCAATAATCAGTAAATCATTAGAATTCTCAAGTTGATAATTTTGTATTTAAATCAATCATAAAGTCTCAGAATTTGTAATCACATCCAAAATATTAAAATGCCTGAAACTTAAAGGGTATCACTTAGGCATTAAAAGTAGGCTGTCAGTAAACTTATTTTACAAGGTAGTTAACTTGAAAGAATCACTCAAACAAAGCCATCTGTGTATGAAGAACTGCTAATAAATAGACCACATAATGGGATAAGCCAGACAATATCATTAAAAATATCTTTTAAAATTCACAATGAATAAATGAGATCTTTATTCTCATAGTGTCAGCTGCAAATCAGGGGGCTAGCTACATATTTTCAATTTATTTGTAGTGAGTCAGTCTTATACTTAAAGATTCTTTTTAAAGAGACTTTGCTGCCCTGGCCAGTGTTGCTCAATGGTAGGAGGGTCAGACTATGCATTGAACAGTCGAGGGTTCAATTCCCGGGCAAGGGCATGTACCTGGGTCTCTCTTTCTATCTTTACCTCTATCTTCCTCCCTTCCACTCTCTCTGAAAAACAAATGAAAAAATATCCTCAGGTGAGGATTAACAACCATCACAAAATAAGGTACTCTGCATATTAAATATATTGTACATCTGCTTTTTGAACAGACTAAGTGTCTGCAAATATACTTGGGTAAGAAAAATAAAACTCCTTACACAGAAGTTATCAGTTCATTGTAATGAATACTGCACAACCTACCTACTAAGTACAACACACCTTTGTTAGTGCTTTAGGGCTATACAACTTACCAGAATACAAACATCATCCTGGAGAAGACACCTACACAGATTACTTCACTACTTGTGGTATGAGGTCAATGCCACAATGTAACCTTCACTATGTCACCCTATTAGAACAGTTCAGAGGTCATTATCACAATCAAGGTGAGAAGTAATGGCAGAGGAAATAGAAAAGAACAGAGAGAGGGGAAACAATATACATATATACGGCAGTGGGAAAAGTAGGGTTACAGCTGTTCATCTAGGAAATAATACAATAACTAATAAATAATAATACAAGAATAAACTCTGTGTTTCGTGTACTCACAACTGTAGCACTACTTTTGCCCACCCATCCTATATAATAAAACCCTTAATATGCAAATCAGCCAAACAGTGAAACGACCGGTCGCTATGATGCACACTGACCACCAGGGGGCAGATGCTCAACACAGGAGCTGCCCCTGGTGGTCAGTGCACTCCCACAGGGATAGCGCTGCTCAGCCAGAAGTCGGGCTCACGGCTGGTGAGTGTAGCAGTGGTGGTGGGCAGGCGGTAAGGAGCGAGAGGTCCCAGACTGCAAGAGGATGCAGGCTGGGCTGAGGGACCCCCCTCCACTACCACCCCCCCCACATGAAATTTTGTGCACCGGGCTTCGTGTGTGTGTGTGTGTGTGTATGGAGAGAGGGAGGGAGGAAGGTAGGGAGAGAGGGAGAGAGGGAGGGAGGGAGAGGGAGAGAGAAAGAGAGAGAGAGAGAGAGAATATGAATTGGGGGGGTGAAGGAATGGGAGGAGGAGGATTAAGACCTAAGAAGAAGAAAATTAAATATGCTTCTATGCTTTCAAGCTCAAGTAACAAAACATTTTATATGAACAGAGGACAAAAAACAAGCCCCAGATTAGGGATGTGAAGAACATATGGAGCTTCCATCTACTTGCCCTTGAAATCTTCACTTAGATACTACTATATAGACTATCCTTACCTAATCAGTCAGATACTACTATATAGACTATCCTTACCTAATCAGTCCTCCGTCTGTTTTTCCTGTTCCCAATCCCAATAAGCTACTTCTTCCTGAGTGTCCCCACAAGACCTGGAACCTAGTGCTGTGAGTGCTCTTAACACTCCGAACTGGGATTGTCTCTACTCGGCCCGTTTGCCGACTGGACTATCGATATATACGTATATAAGCCCAACGACAAGAAAAACGGAATGACCAGAACAATCAGTGGCTATGACACACACTGCGGCAGCCAACTGGCCACATCCAGGCCTGATCACCCCTTCCCCCAGCCTGCCCCGCCCCTGACTGGCCCCCAACACCCTGATCGTGGCTGGGGTCAGCCGGCCAAATGCCTGTGGCCCCTCCCCCCCCGCTGGCTCGCCTAATGGGCCCCCATCAGGGCGGGCCGACCAAACCCCACCCATGCACAAATTGGTGCACCAGGCCTCTAGTTAAGTATTAGGATTCTTAAGGACAAGGACCAAATCTTGTTCATCACTTCTCCTCACTATCTAGCACAGAGCCTGGCACCTAGTAGCTGCTCATATATCTGTTGAGTAACTGAATGGACTCTGCCTGCAAGGAGCTTATAATCTAGGATAGAAAAGGAAACGAAGGATAGATGAAAAGCTTCATTTCATGGAGTAGTTGGTCTTCAGTTAGATTTTAATTTCACATATACAAAAAAATATAAAGTGGCTATACCATCATGTCACATGGTTCAGGAATGCTAGAGCACCAAGCTGGTTTTGTCCTTTTGAGATTCAGCTTTTGGGAGGAAGGTACAAACTTGGAACAAACACCTTGATTGTTTTATAATGATCAATAATCTTCCTTAACTATTTATTGCTTGTTCTAATTTGTCATACACAACATACCCTTATGAAATAATATATGTTCAAGAAGGATCAAAGAAAAAGCATGTCCTACAACATAATATACATTTCTATTGCTAAACAGCAATAAAGACTTTTAACAACACATGTTCTTTGTAACTTATATCTTTATTTTATTTTTATCATGCTATCATTTATTTCACCCGACAGAAGAGGTAAGGTAGAAAAATTATCTAATCATGAGCTGAGACAGATGATAAACAGTATCATTCCTAATCACACAGCAAGTCATTAAAAACACTACTAATTAGATTTCTCAGTGCAAGCATATGTCATTCCTTTTTATCAATTTCCATAGGGACCACTCCATTTAATTTCCAAGCTGGTCATCAAAAATAGTTCAGCCTGGCCGGTTTGGCTCCGTGGCTGGAGTGTTGGCCCATGGGCCTAATGGTCATGAGTTCGATTCCCAGTTAAGGGAACGTATCTCGGCTGCAGGCTCAATCCCCAGCCCCAGTCAGGGCATGTGGGGGAGGCAAACAATCAATGTGACTCTCTCACATCAATGTTTCTCTCCCTCTCGCTCTCTCTCTCTCTCTCTCAAAAAAAAAAAAAAATCAATGGAAAATATCCTCAGGTGAGGGTTAAAAAAAAATTGTTCATGGAAATAACTGAACATGGTATAAAAATACAGTCACACTCAGCTGCCAATGGTGGAAAAAAATGGTCGCAGCTTCCAACTTCCTCAAAATAGCAGAAGGGGTCTAAGGATGAAAAAAGAAAGGGGAAGGGTAGGAAGGAAAGAAGCATCTAGGCCAGTGATGGCAAACCTTTTGAGCTTGGTGTGTCAGCATTTTGAAAAACCCTAACTTAACTCTGGTGCCATGTCTCATATAGAAATTTTTTGATATTTGCAACCATAATAAAACAAGACTTATATTTTTGATATTTATTTTATATATTTAAATGCCATTTAACAAAGAAAAATCAACCAGAAAAATGAGTTTGCGTGTCACCTCTGACATGCGTGTCATAGGTTCGCCATCACTGACTAGGCTGTGATTTTATCCTGGAATTTAATATCAAGGACACCTCTCAAGCATTTTCATACTAACCACCAAACCTTTAACTCTAGCTAGTCTTCCTTTGCTTTGATTTTATTTAAAGATAGTAAATCAACTACTTAAAAGTCTAAACATTGTTTTTTAAAATTATCTTTTTAAAAACAATATTTTTATTTCAGAGAGGAAAGGAGAGGAAGAGAGATACAGAAACATCAATGATGAGAATCCTTGATTGGCTGCCTCCTGCAAGCCCCAACTGGGGATTGAGCCCGCAACTCAGGCATGTGCCCTTGACTGGCATCGAACTCAGGACCCTTCAGTCCACAGGCCAACACTCTATCCACTGAGCCAAACCGACTAGGGCAGTGGTTGGCAAACTGCGGCTCGTGAGCCACATACAGCTCTCTGGCCCCTTGAGTGTGGCTCTTCCACAAAATACCGACTTCTGCACATGGGCCACGAAGTTTCAATCACACTGTACATGCACGCCCGCACGTGGTATTTTGTGGAAGAGCCACACTCAAGGGGCCAAAGAGCCTCATGTGGCTTGCAAGCCGCAGTTTGCCGACCACTGGGCTAGGGCTTAAATTATCTTAAATCTAACATTAATATCAAACTCCAAGAAAAAACTCAGCATGGAGTATAGTATGCAAACTGAAGTGTGTCCAAAGGCTGGGTAGCACACATAAGTGAGGACAATGTGTCTCACATGGACTGTGAACTAAACACACATGAGTGTGTCCAGCAGGAGCAATGTCCCCAATTCAGCAGACGACTGCCAAGGGGGACCCAGATAATGTGGCTTTCAGGTTTTTCAAGAGGAGCCAGAAGTCCAGGTTTTTGTGCTATTTATCCTGATTTATAAACAATGACCAAAACTTAAATTCCTCTTTTTGCTAAAACACTATGTGAACCAAGCAAAATATGACTGTGGGTGGCCCATTTGTGATATCTAGGTAAGAGGTCAGAAACCTGGGCAAAGGTCAAAATCTACAAACTATCCCTTTGTATTAAAAATCAGGGAGTCTTCGCACAATTCCTCTTCTCTCTGTGCAGTTGTGTATCAGAGGAAGCATGTAAAGCTGGCTTCAGGACACGGAAGACCTCAGGCAGAGAAGAACATCCAAGCTCTGACACCTAATTGTCCTCCTAAAACATTTCCTGCTATTAAAGACCAATTTATGGTGTATAATAAATGGTACTGCATGCAAAGCACTTTGCACAGTGCCTAGGGCACATAACAGAATTCAATAAATGTTAGCTATTATT